AGGGACTGCACCGAGAGAACTGATTGTGGTTGCACCTAGAGCTCCATATCTTCTGTGAGAAAAGTGGGAATTGGCTAAACTGGAATTGAGTTGTGTATGCCACTTTTGAGTTGGGACACATGGAACATTGGATGAATACGAGTTGTGGGAGGTAGATCCAGTTTGTAAGTTGCCTGGCCAATTCTTTGCACCACCGTAAAAGGCCCATAAAACCTAAGGCTGAGTTTCTCATTCAGTTTCCTGGCTAATGACTTGAACTTGTAGGTCTGAAGTTTGAGGTACATATAATCTCCTGGAGAGAAACTGATATCTCTGCGATGATGATCAGCCTGCTCCTTCATGCGCCCTTGAGCGACTTCCAAGTTATGTTTAAGCTCATTTAGGATGACATTTCTTGCAAGGATCTATTGGTTCACATCTTTTACTGAGGAAGGGTAATCGGTAAGCTTGAGGAGGAGATGAGGGTCTTTTCCATATAAGACTTTGAAGGGCGTCATTTTAGTGGAGCGGTGGTACGTTGTGTTGTACCAAAACTTTGCCCAAGAAAGCTAGTTTGGCCACTATTTAGGTTGCAGACTGCAGAAACATCTCAAATATGCCTTTAAGCATCGATTAACCACTTCGGTTTGACCATTCGTTTGTGAATGGTATGCTGAACTGAACTTGAGAAAGGTCCCCACTGCCTTGAAGATTTATAGCCAAAATTGGCTCATGAAAAGTCTATCGCAGTCCGAAACTATAGACTTGGGAAACCCATGAAGTTTAACAATTTCCTTCATGAATATCGTGGCTACCTCCTTGGCACCAAAAGGGTGAGATAAGAGGATGAAATGACCATATTTTGTGAGCCGATCAACCACAACTAGGATACTATCAAACCTCTTGTCTCTTGGTAAACCTCCTATGAAATCCATCGTCAAATCTTCAAAGACTTGAGTAGGTATAGGTAAAGGCTGTAAAAGCTTAGTCGGCTTGAGGGCTGAATGCTTATTGACTTGGCAAATGGTACAAGTTTTCACAAAATCTTGAATGTCTTGCCTGATCCCTTCCCAATAAGCAATGTTTGCCACCCTTTTGTACATCCTAAAGAACCCTGAATGACCTCCACCGGGGCTGGAGTGGAATTCTGCCAAGAGTTTCACGATGAATCTAGATCCTTTTGGTAAGACAATTATGTTTTTGTACAGTAGACACCCCTGACGAAGTTTGTAGTGTGACCTACTATTAGGGTCAATGAGTAGGCCTTAGATGATAGACTGCAGCTTGGGATCTTGTTGTGCTTCACTAGCTAAGTCTTCATACTTTGTAAACTGCACCACTGAAATGGTATTCAAATTTGGTCCCTCCACTCTCCTTGACAAGGCATCAACTACTTTGTTTGTATTTCTTGGCCAATAATGAATGTCGAAAGAGAACCCTATTAATTTGGACAGCCACTTTGTTGTTCAGGTGTTATAATTCGCTGGTTTGTTAGAAATTGTAGACTCCTTTGGTCAGTTTTGATGATAAATCTCTTGCCCAAGAGGGAAGGGCTCCACTTATGCATTACAAAGTCAATCGCCATCAATTCTCTTTCAAAAACTGATTTTTGTTTTGCTTGTGGTGAAAATGCTTTGCTTAGATAGGCTATGGGTCTCGATTGCTAGACCAGAACTGCTCCTATACCTTGGCCAGAAGCATTAGTTTGTACTTCAAAGGGAATCTCAAAATTCGGAACTGCCAATACCGGAACTGAAGTCATTGCTTCCTTGAGCCTATCAAAGGCCTTTTGTGCTTCCCCATTCCAGCTAAAAGAATCCTTTTTGAGCAACTCAGTAAATGGTTGTGCAATGCTGCCATACCCCTTGACAAATCTCCTATAATACCCTGTAAGTCCCAAAAATCCCCTTAAACCCTTCACACTGGTTGGACCAGGCCAATTAACCATTGCCTCAATCTTTTGTGGGTCTGCTTCTACTTTTTTAGCTGAAATTAAGTGGCCCAAATACTTAAGTCTCTTCTGTCTAAATAGGCACTTCTTGTTCATTACTAGTTCATTGTCTTGTAGAATCCTAAAGGCTTGTTTGAGGTGTATCACATGGGAATCTAGATCAGGATTGTAGATGAAAATATCATCAAAGAAGGCCAACTCAAATTTTCTCAGAATAAGCTTAAAAATAGTATTTATCAGGGCTTGAAAGGTTGAGGGTGCATTTGTCAGGCCAAAAGGCATGACTAGGAATCATAGTGGCCTTCATGAGTTCAGAAGGCGGTTTTGGGGATATCTTCCTCCTTTAATCGAATATGGTGGTATCCATATCGTAAATCAAACTATGAAAAAATAGTTGCCCCGACTAATTCATTTAACAGTTCTTCGATAATGGGCATGAGAAACTTATCAGGGATAGTTATCTCATTGAGTGTCCTGTAATCTACGCAAAATCTCCAACTCCCATCATTTTTCTTGACTAGCAACATTGGGCTGGCGAAAGGGTTGGAACTAGGCTGGATGATTCCTGCCACCAACATTTCTCCTACCATTTTCTCGATTTCGTTTTTTGGAAATAAGGATATCTATAAGGTCATATATTGGGTTGTCGGGCTCCATCTTAAAAGACTATGGCATGGTCATGTTGTCGTTTCGGGGGTAGTTTAGTGGGTTGTCAAACAAATGGGTATACCCTTTCGACACTGAGACTATCCTAGGGTCGATCGCTTCTCCTCTCTGTTCTAGAACATTTAAGTAGAACAAAACTCAACCAAATATCCTCCCCCTACAGTATACAGTGACCTTAACATGGCTTTAAGAGAGACCACCGTCTTAACTAGGGATGGATCTCCTTGTAGACTCACTCTTCTGCCCCCCACCTCAAACTTCATTGTAAAATTCTTCCAATTTGCACACACATCGCCTAAAGAACTTAACTAGGTTACCCCTAACACCAGGTCAGCACCACCCAAATTAAAAGGAAAACAATCTTAGGTAATCTTAACCCTTTGAACCTCTAGTTGTACTCCCTTACAAACACATTCTCCTCTCACCGTGACACCATTTCCCACCATCACTCCAAACATTTTTCCCTTTTCAATTTGCATTCCCAACTTTCGCACCAAGTCGTGTGAAATAAAGTTGTGGGATGCTCCATTGTCAACCAACACAATAACCCCTACCCCCTCAATCACCCCTTTTATTTTCAAAGTTTTGTCAGAGGTGATTCCAACAATAGAGTTCATAGATAAGGCTAAAGGATTACCTTCAATAGTGGTTTCCCTTTCGATGTCTAATGGGTTCTTCCTTCTTTGCATTGTCATCTTTCCATGCCAGCAAAATCTACAGAGTCTTGCTTTTACATCGGTGGTTAGGGCCAAACTTTTCATCACGTCTAAAACACAAACCCTTTTCCTTCTTATATTGAATGTCTGCCTCTGTTAGCCTCCAAAAATTGTCCCCTTTGAAACTAGAAGCTGCCTTCTCTGGTGGTTTTTCTCTCTTGTTAGTAAATCGATTTAACGATGAATACTCATGTTCTAGAGATTTAGTTGTGTTGGGCCACCAACCGGGTCATCCCACCTCTGGGCTTGCAAAAACTCGTGAATAAGTCTCATTTTTTACACTTTGGGCTTTAGTTAATTTGGGCCTGATCTTATCCAGCACCCAATTTTTCTCTTCAACTCGGTGGGCTTGCTCCATAACTTCACTTAAATCTGTGGGCTACATTAGGCGTAATTCAACTCTAATCTCTTGTTTTAGCCCATTGACAAAGATACCCATTAGCATCTCCTCCCCCAATTCTTTCAAGGAGGTTGTATGTGCTTCAAAATCTTCGCAATATTCCGTCATCGACATAGTTTGTCTCAATTCCACCAATTCCTCATAGGCTATCCCTTGAAAGGATGGTTTGAATCTGGCAATTAAGGTGGCTTTGAAATCCCTCCAATTCTGAATTGGTCTCCAAGACTCTAACCATTGGTACTAGTTTAAGGCTCTCCCCTCCATGCACATAGCGGCGGCCTCCACCATCTCCGCTTCTTCGTATCGGTTAATGGTGAAGTATCAATCAGGCTTGAAGGTCCACCCAAAAGGATCATCTCCGTTAAAAATTGGCAGCTCAAGTTTACGAATCCTCTTGTCCTCCTTCCCATTTATCACCATTGTGATCTCGTTCATGTCCCTTGTCACCATCAGAATTATGATTCTTTGAAGATGATGATGATTTCTCCTTCTCCTCGTATCCTTTTTCATCCCTTTCCTCCCTCATACATATCAATTCCCGCATCTCCACCAGAAACTCCTTAACACTACATAAATCTGTCTTCAACGTACTCACATCTTCCCTCATCGTTTTCATTTCCTTTTCAACATTATCCATTCTGTTCTCCATCTTGGATTTTACCATTCCCCAACCAAGCTCTGATACCAATTTGATGGAACCTCCTATCAAATTAATCCAAATCCAACCACAACACACAAAGAGCAAATAAAAAGAGAACACACAATTTGATATAAACTGAATTGATATTAATATAATGATTGAAATAACAATTCCAGAAAATAGCACCCAAACAGATAGATTCCTAATAGTTCGAGAAGCTGGGGAGCCTCCCTTAATGACCTATGAAGAATTTACTTGATCCCTCCCTTAATGACCTATGAAGAATTTACTTGATCCCTCCCTTAACACTCTCTAGCTATATATACTCATGTACTTACCAAACTAACCTTATGCTAACAAAACTTATTCTATCCAGCCACTTGCATATTCTCGTAACTAACTCTTACTCACACCCATTACCCCTTACTGCCCCTTTTACGACCCCTCAACTTGTAGACCATATTTACGGGTGGTGATCTATTAGAATGTCATTTCATTTGCAAGTGTATGGTTTTTTTTCATATATGAATATAAAAAAAATACAAACTTTTTCCCTGTAAGTGAATAAGTGATGCTGATTTTGGCAGAAGATAGTGCTTATTGCTATTGTTGCTTTATGTATATAAAAGTTCAACAACATAACAATTAGACATTCTGGGATATGTGAAGGCCGACTATATGTAGAGTCATTTACCAAATTAAGGACCATAATAATTAGACAATGTGATGAGTTAGAGCATAGCTTCTCAATCTCTATGGCAAGAAACCTTTCACATTTCCAAAAAGTCGAAGTGACTGATTGCAAGAACCTAAAAGAGATTTTTAGTGATGAAGAAATTGAAGAATCTACAGAACATGCTAATCAAAGGGTATGTTTTTACTATTTTTTTTTTCCAGGTATTTTAATACATTTATAAGTTTGTTTACAGAACAAGAGTTGTGTCTGCAGGTTGTGTTCCCAAAACTTTTAAGGTTGACTATGAAGGTATGTCATTCTTTGAAATTTATGTTTCCATCTATTGTGGTTGAACTCCCATCGTTGAATGCAATTCACATTAAGAGTTGTCAAAGTTTGAAGACATTCTTCCCCATGAAAGAATGTGAAGAAATGAACTTAGAGAATGACACTACAATTATACATCCTTTCTTTGATGAGAATGTATTTTTTTTTTTTTTTTTTTCAGAAGCTCATTTAATAGAATACATGGACATCTTATTCATCTTCTGCTTCGTGTTATATAGGTTCATTGTCCAAGCTTGGAGAAGATGATACTCTCACACTTGGATAACATCCCGTAAATATGGCACAATAAACTGGAAGCAGATTCTTTTTGCAAACTCAAGGTTTTGAGAGTTGAATTTGTGAAAAATTACCCAGTTTTGTTTGTCCTGACACACTCAGAAGATTACCAAAGAATCCACAAAGACTTCACACCTTTCAAAATCAAGAAATTGTAAGGGTTACAAAATGTTGGAGTATGAAAAACCTCTTTCCAGTCTCTATAGATGCAGGTCTCTGGAAACTTAGAAGAGATTGAGATAAACTCTTGTGGGTTGGAGGAAATTGTTGCCATGGAGAAAGTAGAAGCGCCTCCTAAGTTTGAGTTTCCTCAACTAAATTTCTTGCAACTTGTGGATTTACCAGAACTCAAAAGTTTGTACCTAGGGTGGCATACAACAGAGTTGCCATTGCTAAAAAGCTTGGTGGTTTATCATTGTCATAAGCTTCTTAGCCAATCCGAAAACCAAACTCAACATATTATGTTATATTCTAATTCATAAATACCGAAAACATAACTTTTATTTATAAAATAGGATAAAATTAATATTACTTCTTTTGAAAATAATATTTCTTTACACCAACAATAAATATATACTATTTATTTCATATATGATATTTTTTTTATTGATTTCCTTAATTATCAATTCAATGTAAAATAAACTTTAATATAGAAAATATATATTTAAAACACAAAAAAAAAAAAAAACAATAATAATATAAAAATATATAATAAATATACCTGCACAACGCATGGGTATTTCATCTAGTTCAAAGACAACAGGAAATAGAATACGAAAATACAGTGAAATCTCTCTCTCACAAATTCACAATCATTACGCCAAGAAATCTAGCCAAGAAATCAAAAACTGAAAAAGAAATATAAAGCAAAAAGAATTCGTGGCATACCTGTTGAAGTGCAAAGTAAAGTCTCGATAGAATTAGGGAGGAAGAACTGAGAATAAAACTATACGCCCAATAACAAAGAGGCATCGAAGATTCCACTAACGGGAGAGAATGGCATTGAGGTCTAAGAACGAGAGAGAATGGCACCGGAGATCGACGAACGACAAGTTGTAGTCGACAGAGGGAAGAGAGCTTTCTAAACTTTTTCCTCAAATCGTAAAATAACAAACCCTAAATTAGATTTCTTTTTTGATATGTACAATTACAAAACACCCTAGTTGCGACCGATAGTCGGCGTAACGGCGCACGACTACTCGAATCTGGTCATTCGTGAGTCAATATGGCCTTTTCTGGAATGACCAAATTTGCAAATGACCAGCCAGATTCGGCTAGTTGGTCACCATTCCGGTGATTGTAAGCAGCGATTAACGGTGGTGGCCAACGGTCAACAGTACTCTTAGGTGGCTAGGGTATTCAGAGTACCAGCTATATAACTAACAATGATTATTATTGGTTTTAAAAGATTACCAAAATCTTATATTAGTAATGTTAGTAATATAAGATAACATTACTAGAGTAATCTCATATAACCCACAACCAGCCCTTGTATGTGATGTTATTTGTTCAATTCTTTTATTTTATTAAATTCAATTTTTATATATACCCAAATTTTTAGAATTATATAACTATCTACACAAATCCCATTTATATTTAAAATAGTCTTAAATAAATAAATTTAGTAATTATTTATTTTTCATAAAATTGATTAAAAAGAATTATGAGAGTGAAGCACAAAATAAAGTAAGAAATTGAAAAAAAAAATTATTTATTATAAATGATCTTTGAATTTAGGGTGTACGGTAATTTTTATGCTATATACACTAATTATTATGATACTAGTTGAATTTGAGATTGAAAAATAACATAGGAAAATTTCATTAACTCCGATTGAAATTAAGTTAAAATATATGCACATTAGTTTGAAATTGATTAGAAAGAGCATTTCATAATCTGAAAATTTTCATAACATATCCTGAAATGGTTATATATTGTTGGAATTATGAGCAGTGAAGAGTGAAAAATAGAAGAAAGAGACTCAAGGAGATAATTTAGTGAATTCAATTGTTATTGAATTGATTATAATTGAATCAATATTGTCTATTTATTCTAAAATAAACTATAAAATAAGTTAAGTAAAATATTCTTATAAGAGTAATGTTATGCTTACAACTGAATCATACAACTAGACAAGAAACAAAGAATAGAGTAATCATTTTACATGAATTTGATATAATTTTTGTCTAGTTGTATGACTCAATTGTAAGCAAAATGTTATTGTTCTAATAATATTAGTATCTCCTAAAAGAGTAAACTCAACATTACTTAACTATTAAGAAAAAAACATATATTTTTCTGTCATTTGCATTTCAACATCTTTCTAAAGTTTGATCAAATTTAAGAGAAATATGCTCTCCTATTTCTCTATTTCAATTCTTAAACCTGAGTACTAAAAAGGAGATGAATAAACTAAATCCAAATAATTTTTTTTATCAAATATTACTATTATTTCATATTATGTATAGCATTAAGTTATAGATAATGGCATGGTAATCCCAGAGCCAATTTAAATTTGTAGTGTTAACCTATATATTTAATTTTTACAAAATTTGCTTCTCTAATTGTACCATGCCTAAGAAGCAACACTTCTTACAAAGGAAGAATATTCCTAAGGGATTTCATTACTTGTATATTTATGTATTTACTTTCATTATTATCCAAAACCCTTTGGAAACCTTTCCTTTTTACATTTTCTATCAATGGAGATTTATACTACAACATGCCATTAATTTTGGTAAGGATGTGTTTGGTTATATTTACAGTCCAATTTAATTACTCTATTTTAGGATTTGAATCAATTTTCCTATGAGAATTTCATGATATAACTTCATTTCAAACAAATACCCTGTCAAATTATGTATGTTTCAAATAGTTGATAACAACATTTAGAAATTTGAGTTAAATAACTTTGATTCATCATATTTGGTTTGAGTGTTACTTTGAAATTTTACTGGACCAAAAAGTAAGTCCAAACCTCACGAACCAAATATATTTACAATAATGCTAGGTCCACAAACTAATCTCATGATCTTCTCTCACAATCTCCGATATGACAACTCACAATTGGTTAGATAGACGAGACCCACAGCAAGTAGACATGATGCATTTGTGAATTGACTAATTATGAGTTATCACGTCGGGGGTTATGAGATTAGGTTATAGACCTAGCATTTTTCATATATTTAAGGCTTAGAATCTGCTTAAAATTGTTTTTCATATTATTACAATGTTTTCAAATATTCTATTCATGAAGAATGTAAACAGTAAAAAATAAACATAAAAGTCATTAGATATAAGAACATAAGATTTATAGCATGTTGAATATTATTGATTAATAACAGTGAATTAAGATTAAACGTAACATTAAATGTAAGACTCGTATATATATCAAGATGTAAAATTGGCAGCATCAATTAATGTAAAATTCCTTAACATTTTTTTAAGTGCTTGTCCACCCTAATATAATCTAAAAGTGCTTTTGGCTATTTTAACCTGTAAACAACCAAAAACTCCCTAGCACAGATTCCAAAAGAAGGAAAATAAAAAAGTCCTTAAGTACTAGGCATACCATATATGGATAATTACTAGATATAGTATCTTATCTGTCACCTTTCTATAATATCTCCCTAATTTTGGTCACTCTTTCCCTCGTTCGTCCCATACAATCCCTATCAATTTAAGTAACTTACTTATATTTAGACAAATTGCATATTTCTTCTATCTGTATTCTTCGTTTCTTTCTTTGTTGTTTTGTTTCTCAGAAAAAAAAAAAAGAAAAAGAAAAAAAAAAGTAATAATCAAACAACATGGGAAGAGGCAAAATTGAGATCAAGAGAATTGAGAACTTGAACAGTAGGCAAGTCACCTTCTCGAAACGCCGCAATGGGTTGCTCAAAAAGGCCAAGTAGTTATCGGTTTTATGCGATGCGGAGGTTGGTGTCATCATCTTCTCAAGCACAGACAAGCTTTATGAGTTTTCAAGTTCCAGGTATTATTGCTTAAATCATCTTGGTCAGTTTTATCTGTTGCTGATTTTTAATCTGGTTAATTTTCAGTATGTTATGTAAAGTTCTTTAATTATGAACTGTAATATATGAACAAGTTAATAAACAAAATAATTAAGTCATACTCAAAACTATATAGTTTTCATCAGTCGTGTGATTAATCCCTAGAACAGAATCGTATTCAATCACAATTTGGATAAATTTAATAGTTAAGTTTTCTTTTTTTGGGGAAAAATGTTAGTAAACGATATATGGGGAAAAAGAAAGATAAAGCTGTAATGAAGGTGATCCTTTTTTGTGCCTAAGGAAACCAAGGAACTTGTTTGCTTATATCCTAAGGAAATGATTTTTCATTTCCGTATTTTCTATATTTATTTTTCAAGTTTTCCCAACTTATATCTTGATCCAAACAGAGTCTTATTCCAATATAGGGCAACAATATATGAAGTTTAAAAACTCAATAACCTCTCTTGTATAAAAAATTCAAGAATTGATAGAAGAGATTGTCACTTGATAGTATACATGATTTAGGAAATTTCTACCGTATTGGGGCTCAACCAAAATCTTTATCCCTTATATATTCAACAATGTCATATATAACATATTGACTTCATGTCATTATTTTCAAGATTTTAAATAAATTCAAATGAAAGTATAAACAAATTAACCCTAGCTACTTTATGTTAGTGGGATTTTCTGAATGATTAGTTATTTTACTTATAATGTAGCATGAAATAAATTCTTTCAAGATACAATAAAGGCATGGACGTGGAGTGCCAAGAACCTCCTGTTGATGAGCCTCGCCAAGAGGTATCTTATAGGCGTTTGTTTCTGAATTTAGAAGATGATTTTTGTGTTTCTCAAAACCATTTGCAGAAATAAAAAAAAATTAAAAAAAAAAAAAAAAAAACTCTTTTTAAGCATCTGTAAAATTATGCTAGCGCTTTAAATTGCATTCTTTGAAATATTCCAAAACATTATAGTAATCGTCCGTATTAAATATATCCTCTGTTTTCATTCACAAAGTACTGTTTCAGAAAATTCAATATACTGTATATTACTCTTCTTTCTTGGAAAAAAGTTAATGAAATTAATAATCCCCAGCGGGGACTAAGTGATTGTGATTTCAGTGAGTAACTTTCAATTGTTTATGATATCATAGAAGAAACAGCTATCACAAATCATAGAAGTAAATGCCTTGAAAAAATAATTTGCAAGGCTACGGCTGGCATATTTGTAAGTAATTATCATCATGTTTCTCTCACAATTTTTGTCAATATATAAAACATGCATCATGTTCTTCGACTTTCTGTAAACATTTGTTATTTTCAGACGGATGAAAGGCAAGGAACTG